TTCTGTTTATTATGTTGATGACACTTTTTCATCACATTTTGGTAGAAGAGGTCCTTCAGTTCATTTAACATACAACCTAGAATCCTAAAAAAATATCCAGCAATTCTTCAATGAAGTTAATGTCCCTAAGTATTGGGATGCAGTGGGCACTTATGCAATGGCAATAGGTTTTGATTATGGGTACTTTGGAATGTAAGTGAATTCTGAATCTGAAAGAAGAATTCTTTTTTCTGTTTGGAGTCCATAATCAACTGATGATCCATCTTAAATATCAGCTGATAATGCTGTTCTTTTGGTATCTAAAGGTAACAACACAGTTATTAACGCTTTTGGAAATGAAGGTTCTGGCGGATAGAGTTATCTAGTTTATCCTTGGGTTGCAGGTGTTTCATATTAATTCAAACTTGTTGGTGAGCCTTCTACAAATGGGTACTCAATATTTAGTGCTTATTTTAAGGATCCTACAAAATCTTAAGATTATATTTTAATTGCTTCATGGAAAAGACCAAAAACATAATCATACTTAAGTGGTTTATACTCATTTTTAGAAAATTTTAATCCAGAAAAAGGAAATATTTCAAGAAAAGTTTACTATAATAACTAAAAAGCTATTGATTACAGAAACAAAGAAGTAAAAGTTTTATCAGCTTACTTTACCTATGATGAAACAGCAAATAAATAGCAGAGATTAGATTATGACGGTGGTGTAGATAACTTAAACGGATATTACCTTAGAAATTGTGGTTTTTTTAATAAGACTAATGTTAAGTATGGTGATACTTTCATAAAAAATAAATGATAAAATTTAATATATTTGATATTACTTTATATTTTTACATTATTTACTTGTATTAATTATAAAATCCTTTACTATTTTAAAGTCAGTTATTTTTTTTTGAAAATATTTTTTAGGTTAAAGTCTTAAAAAATAAATTATAGTTTTAAAATAATAAATTTATAAAAAATTTTTCTAAAAAAAAAATTTTATTATATTAGGAGATAAACAAAAATCTTTTAGCCTTTATCTAAAAAATATGATAGGGATTGAAGATTACTCAGTTTCTTAATTATATATTCATAAAGGCATATTTTTGATAAATTTTACATTTAAAAATCCATTTTTGATGGTTTAAGCTTATGCTTATATTTAGTGGTAAGTGACTATATGATTACAGCAAAATTTAACAAACTTTTAATTTTCTGATTATTTCAAATATTTTCTATTAACAAAGATGAAAAACTATTAATTATTTCTAATATCAAAACTAATTAATTATATTGAGAAACAACATATTTCAGAAAATGTTTTCTTTATATTTTAGTTAAATTTAAAAAGAGAGATTGTTAGCACTAAGTATTTATTCTAATTATAAGAATATATATTAATTCATTAAAGATGTTTTGAATTTTACCATCAGTATACATACATATTAATATTTTTCTTTTAGATATTTGGCTTCTTTAATTAATATCGATCTAAATATTAAATTCAATAAAAGTACAAATTTTTAATTATTATATGTTTTGTGGTAATTAACTAATTGATTACTGTAATAATTTATTAGATCATTAAGTAAATAAATTAATTACTTTAATTTTAATTATTGGCTTTTATGGAAAAGAAATTTCTCTTTGATTTTTTAAAAAGAGAGTAAAGTAAGTAACAAATAATAAATAATATGTTTAATATAATAAAATGAATTTATAATATAATAAATTTTCATTAATAAATAATATTACCTAAAATTTTTTTGAATGTAAATTTAATACCTATTTCTTAGAAAATAAGGATTTATTTATTATCTTATGATAGTCACGAATTAAAACATAATTTAATACAAAAGGATTTTATTTGTTCTATAAACCTATTCATCCACCATTCAGATTCAGATTTAAGTAAATCTTTTATTTTAATTAATGCCAAATACCACTATTTTCTATTTAATTACAATAAAGAAAAAACTAATAATATCTCACATATTAGTTAACAAATTTCCTTAAATTTATTTAACATAAATATTTCTTAATTTAAAATCAATGAATCATCTTATTGTGGATGGATGTAATTATTAAGGGAGCTAAGGGTAGGATTTAGTATGGAAATTTTTTTCATTTACAATAGGCTATTTTAAACGAAAAATCATTACTGAAATATTTTATTATTTTATGATTTTAAAATTTGGTACGCTTTATTTCAGTTTCTAGAAAAAAATGAATTAAAAAAAATTTGTTTTCTACTTATTTTCTTATGATTGTATTGTCCTTCATAAGAGGAAGTTTAACTTAACGACCCCCTGTAAATAAAAAATCCTATTGAATTCGATTTTACTATTTATGTTAATTATGAATAAAATAAATTCGATTTTTTTACTAATTTTTATTGAATTTCAAGTAAAAAATTTACTTAAATCTGAATATGATAATCATTTATAAAAATTTAATATTCTATCGTACCATTATTAAAACTAATAAATAACAACAATATAAACTTTAAGATATTCATTAAATATATTTTACCAAATGAAAATATTCCTACTACTTTTTAAGAAATTGTAATAAAAATTTTAACTCCATTAAATTGAATTTACATAAATATGGAATTAGGTATTACTAGAATTATAGCATATAATTCGATTGAAAAACTATTCAAGTATTACTCATACTTTTGGAATAATTATTGAAATCTTTTAAAACATATAATTTGATTGAAAATCTATCCAAATATTACTCATACTTTTGGAATAATTATTGAAATCTTTATTTCATTAAATATTTATATACACTACTTTTATTTGAGTTACAGATTCATTTTTCTTTTATTTTTAAAACTTTTAATATATGAAACATGTATATATTTTAAATGTATTAAGTATATAAAAATTATTTTAGTAAATCTATTTAAAAGCCATCAATATTTTCTTTTTATGCTATAATTTGCTCATAATTTATTGTCCATACTAAATTTAATCACACATTAGGTTTATGAATATTTAATATCTATACTTTTATTAGAAAATATAATTTATTTAAACTAAAAATTTTATTTTAAATATCCCAACAAACTTTATATTATAAAATATAATAAATAAATAAAAAATAATATTAATAAAAGATAAAATGACTGACATAAAAATACCTTTTGGTTGGAACTCTTACTAAACTTGTTCAACAAATAGATGTTCTTATTCTTCTATTTAAGAGCAAGGAGTGTCTTATTGGAACGATTCTAATATTATCATAAGTCTTTTCTTCTATGTTGCAATTGCTGGAACTTACAATATTACCCTTTAGTCTGCTGAAGTATAGAGATCAGCAGAACTTTAAGTTAGTATACCCTCTATCTCATACAATTACCTTGCAAACTTTGATACTGATAGCTTGAATCTGTCTCTTGGTGCCATCCAAATTTAAAACTCTGGTTACTTGTAAGTAAATTTTAAAGGCACTAATTCTTCAGTAAATAAAAAAGCTGGCTATTATCCTTAATTAAACTCTTTTGTTCTCTCAGGTTCGAAAAACAAAAATTCTATATATTATGTTAATGACTCTTTTTCATCACATTTTGGCAGAAGAGGTCCTTCAGTTCATTTAACATATAACTTAGAATCTGATCAAAATATCCAATAATTCTTCAATGAAGCTAATGTTCCTAAGTACTGGGATGCAGTAGGTACTTATGCAATGGCAATAGGCTTTGACTACGGATATTTTGGAATGTAAGTAAATTCTGAATCTGAAAGAAGAATTCTTTTTTCTGTATGGAGTCCATAGTCAACTGATGACTCATCTTAAATATCAGATGAGAATACTGTTATTTTAGATTCTAAAGGTAACAACACCGTTATTAACTCTTTTGGAGGTGAAGGTTCTGGCGGATAGAGCTATCTAGTTTATCCTTGGGTTGCAGGTGTTTCATATTAATTCAAGCTTGTTGGTTAGCCTTCTACAAACGGGTACTCAGTATTTAGTGCTTATTTTAAGGATCCTACTAATTCCTAAGATTATATTTTAATTGCTTCATGGAAAAGACCAAAAACATAATCATACTTAAGTGGTTTATATTCATTTTTAGAAAACTTTGATCCAGAAAAAGGAAATATTTCAAGAAAAGTGTACTATAATAACTAAAAGGCAATTGATAACTTAGGTAATTAAGTAAAAGTATTATCAGCTTACTTTACTTATGATGAAACAGCTCAATAAAAACAGAGACTGGATTATGACGGTGGTGTAAATAACTTAAATGGATATTACCTTAGAAATTGTGGCTTTTTTAATAAGACTAATGTTAAGTAAGGAGATACTTTCATAAAAAATAAATGATAAAATATATATATATAATAAAAGATATTATTTAATAATTTTACATTCCTTATTAGTTCTAAATTATAAAATAATTCACTTTTTTTAATAGTTTTCTTTTTAATTAGGATATTTTTCAATTAAAATCTTTATTAAATTCTAAATAACTAATTGAAATTTTATCATAATAAATTAAAATAAAATTATTCTAAAAAAAAAGATTTTATCCATTGATTTCAAAGAATATGTTCTATTAAAAGTAAATAAATGAAATATTTAGATATTTGAAAAAATTCTAATAATTTCTATCATATTAATTAGGAGTGTTTTGTGATTACCAATTTTATGAATATTAATAAAAAGTGAAAATATTGTTTAGATTTCAAATTTATTTTTATTTAATTAAATTGGATCAAAATTTTCATATTTTGTAAATTGAGTAAAGAAGTAGGCGAGTAATTTACATCTCATGTTTAATATAAATATTTTTTTAAATTATCAAAAATAATTAATAATTCTTATTTTAATTTTAATTAGAAGAAGATACTAGTATGACTCTTGCATAAGGATTCTTATTAGTGAAGATTAAATTGGGTTTTTTAAAATCAATTGGCAAATTTTCTTTGGAAATCTTTTTTTAAGAAGATATGTTTTCCCATTTTATTATATTTGTAAATAATAACAATACAAATTTGATATTCATATATAAAGAAATAAATAGCTCATACTGATTTATTTTTATATTATTAAATGATGCCTATTAAATATATATTCTACCTTATTAATTTAGATTTTGGAAATCTTTAATTAAATTTAATGTTAAATACCATTACTTTTAATTAAACATGTGCTTTCATTCTATTCTTTCATTTCATTATGAAATTTTTTATATTTAATTCAAATGGCTTTCAAATTCAATTAATTATTTGCGAGGTTAATTCACATCTAACATTAATTTCATCTATAAATTGTTCAATATCATTGAACCACCTTGTCATTCATTACTAAATTGAAATGTCTTTGCATCTGAATTAAAGAAAAAAAAAAGGAATTTTATTTTATGTATTTACTAATTTATTTAACATAAAAACTATTATTAATTAATTTAAATGGATTATCTAATCTAAAACCTAAAAATAATTCATTTTATATATTTTTGAATAAACATAGTTATAAACGAATTAAACTCATAAATATTTGCTTTATCTTTGTCAAAATTTACATGATAATCATTTAATTTGTTATTTTAGCCATTATTTGCTGTTTTATGTTCATTAAAACTAATAAAAAAATAATATAATATTTATAATTTTATATTTAATTTGGATAATTAAATAAAAATATTCCTACTACTTTTTAAGAAAATCACAATTAATTTTATTTATTACTCATTTAAAGTTAAACTTACATAAATAAGTAATTAAGTAAAATAGATAAATTTTAGTAGGATTAAAATATATTCAAGCTTAATTCGTAATTTGGAATTACTAAAACCTCTCTTTTGGATTAAAGATTAATTAATTACCACTATTTCAATTTTAGTAACAGGATCATTTTAGGAAATATTTTAACTTTTAAAGTCAGTTAAAATGTTTAAAATCTAAATAAATCAATTATTAAGAACATAATTTTATTTTTTAATAAAATTTTTAAAATATATGATTAAGGTATTATATATAGCAAACAAACTTGTTATTTGATTACATGCTATATTATTTACATATTAACTTAATACTTTAATTAATTAAGATATATAAAAAATAAGAATGTCAAAATTTGTTTTAATTCAGTTAAAACGTAATGTAGCTCATTTCGAATAGCATGTTTAATATGCTAAAAATGTACTTATACATTTAATTGTAAAAAATATTAGAAAAATAATAGTAAAGCATAGGCATTATAAATATATTAAAGAATAGCTTTCAAAAATAGAGATGCATAATTATAACCATCAATACTAAATAATTAATAATCATTGGCTTAACATTAATAATACCAAGCTATTAGAAAAAGCTTATTAAATTAGCTACAAATTTTTTGATTCATTGCTTAATTTACTCAAATAATGTTCTATCACTCAAAATTTAACCAGAAGTTTAAATAAAAGATAATCAAGAAATATATTTTTATTAGTAAATAGAATTGTTTAAATTATGAATTCCATTTTAAATATCAATCAAACTTTTATATTTTAAATCATTATAAATTAAAAAAATAATAAAAAGATAAAATGAATGACACAAAAGTATCTTTTGGTTGGAACTCTTACTAAACTTGTTCTGCATAGTAGTGTTCCAAACCTTAAATCTTAGAACAAGGAATCTCTTATTGGTAAGATTCTAACATTATCATAAGCCTTTTCTTCTATGTTGCTGTTGCTGGAGCTTATGATATTTCTCTTTTATCTACTGAAGTATAGAGATCAGCAGAACTTTAAGTTACTATTCCCGCTATCTCCTACAGCTACTTAGCAAAATTTAACACTGATAGCTTGAATTTATCTCTCGGTACCATCCAAATTAAATATCCTGCATACTATTAAGTAAATTTTCAAGGGACTAATTCTTTGGTAAATAAAAAAGCTGGCTTTTACCCATAATTAAACTCTTTGATTCTCTCAAATTCTGAAAATTAAAATGCTATATTTTATGTTAAAGACTCTTATTCATCATATTTTGGCAGAAGAGGCCCTTCATGTCATTTCAGATACAACCTAGAACATAGTTAAAATATCCAGCAATTCTACAATGAAGTTAATGTTCCTAAGAATTGGGATACATTGGGCACTTTTGCAATGGCAATAGGTTTTAACTATGGATATTTTGGAATGTAAGTGAATTCTGAAACTGAAAGAAAAATTCTTTTTTCTGTATGGAGTCCATAGTAAACTGATGATCCATCTTAAATATCACCTGATAATGCCGTTCTTTTAGTAGCTAAAGGTAACAACACCGTTATTAACTCTTTTGGAAATGAAGGATCTGGCGGACAGAGCTATCTAGTTTATCCTTGGGTTGCAGGTGTTTCATATAAATTCAAACTTGTTGGTTAACCTTCTACAGACGGATACTCAATATATAGTGCTTACTTTAAGGATCCCACAATATGCTCAGATTATATTTTAATTGCTTCTTGGAAAAGACCAAAAACATAATCATACTTAAGTGGTTTACACTCATTTATAGAAAATTTTGAACCAGAAACAGGAAATATTTCAAGAAAAGCCTACTTTAATAACTAGAAAGCTATTGATGATTAAAACAAAGAAGTAAAAGTATTATCAGCTTCCTTTTCTTATGATGGTACAGCATCTTAATAGCAGAGGTTTGATTATGATGGTGGTGTAGATATCCTAAAAGGATTTTACCTTAGAAACTGTGGCTTTTTTAACAAGACTAATGTTTAGTATGGAGATACTTTCAGAAAAAATAGATGATAAAATTGAATATATTTGATATTATTTTGTATTTTTACATTATTTAGTTGTATGAAAATATCAAATCGTTTACTATTTTAAAGTCAGTTTTTTTGTTGAAAAGACATTTTTTTAAATCCTAAAAACAAATTAACTTTTTAAAATAAGAAATTTATTTAAAACTTTTCCAAACATTTAATCTTGAATCAATTTTTTTAAATATAAAATAATGAAAAAAATTTTTTATACCACAAAAATTAAATTAAAAAGTAAAATTTGATTTCTCCCTAAGGTTTTATTTAAATCACGGTATCTAATTAATTATGATAAATAAAAAAAGGATAGAAATATGATTCATGGATAATATTTAAGATAATAATATAACTGGCATATAAAAGCTTGGCATTCTTTTAATTTAATAAGATATATTAAACTAAAAGTTCCAAATTATTTTATCGTTTTTGGAGAATTCGGAGGGTTTGCTTAAGAGAATTTAATTTATTTAAGTAAATTTAATTTTTAAATTTTTTTATTTTTAATAAATAATTTATTTACTTACAAAAATATGAATGATATTTATAAATTTAAAATCAATAATAAAAACTATAAATCTATTTATATTTTAGGTTAAAAACACTTTTTAAAAATATTAAATAATAAAATATATAATATTATTCAAACATTTTATATTGATTCATCCTTTTTTCACCAGCTGTTTATCATCAGAAATTTAAATTAAAGACAACTAATCTTTATGATTTAAGACACTTGCCTTTTACTTTGAATTTTTATGAAATTTTCAATGAGCTAAAAATTTTAAAATAAATCTGTGTAAATTTTAAATAAATATAAAAATAGAATAAACTTTTAAATTAAATTATTCTTTAAATTTATAAATAAAATAATATTAGTGCAATAAAAAAGATAAAAAAATAAATCAAATAAATTCAAAGAAATTTTTTTTATATTCATTTTTATAGTTTAAAATATCACAATTCAAAACAAATAAACTGTTTTTACTCAAGGTAAAGTGTCAAATTTGAGAGATTAATGCATTTTGCTAAAGCTGAACCTAAGCCTGATGCACCTTCATCACCAATTAAATTCAATCTTTTTAAATATTGAAGAAAAAATATATCATTAAATAGTTAATTAGAAGGAAAAAATGAAGAAAAAATATGAAATAATAAAATTAATTAATAATAAAAGCAAATGAATAAAATAAATGATGAGCTTAATTAACAAAGAAAAAACAAAACAGCAAGCACGATAAAAAGAAAAAGAAAAAAGAGCTTTATTGTTTTTAATTAGTTTTTATAATTAAAAATATCACAATCCAAAACAAATAAACTGTTTTTACCTAAGGTCAAGTGTCAAATTTGAGAGATTAATGCATTTTGCTAAAGCTGAACCTAAGCCTGATGCACCGCATTCACCAATTTAATTGTAACTTTTTAAATATTGAAGAAAAAATATATCATTAAATAGTTAATTAGAAGGAAAAAATGAAGAAAAAATATGAAATAATAAAATTAATTAATAATAAAAGCAAATGAATAAAATAAATGATGAGCTTAATTAACAAAGAAAAAACAAAACAGCAAGCACGATAAAAAGAAAAAGAAAAAAGAGCTTTATTGTTTTTAATTAGTTTTTATAATTAAAAATATCACAATCCAAAACAAATAAACTGTTTTTACTAAAGGTTAAGTGTCAAATTTGAGAGATTAATGCATTTTGCTAAAGCTGAACCTAAGCCTGATGCACCTTCATCACCAATTTAATTGTAACTTTTTAAATATTGAAGAAAAAATATATCATTAAATAGTTAATTAGAAGGAAAAAATGAAGAAAAAATATGAAATAATAAAATTAATTAATAATAAAAGCAAATGAATAAAATAAATGATGAGCTTAATTAACAAAGAAAAAACAAAACAGCAAGCACGATAAAAAGAAAAAGAAAAAAGAGCTTTATTGTTTTTAATTAGTTTTTATAATTAAAAATATCACAATCCAAAACAAATAAACTGTTTTTACTAAAGGTCAAGTGTCTATTTGAGAGATTA